ACAGTGTTTCATTGTTATTCTTTCATAATTGCATCATTTGGTATCAGAGGACTTTCTTGAGCTCTGTGGGAGATTTAAAAAATGGCTGATATGAAAGAAATCAAAGATATGCTTGATAGGATGACCATGGAGATGGCTAACTTCACAGTTAGACAGAACCAAATAGAAGCACACCATGAGAAGGCATTCTCTGAGCTGAAACAAACTCTTGATGCTGTGAAGGAGAAGGATAAAGGCAAAACTGTTGAAGAAGTAGATGGGGTGAGATATATACTCCTTCAGGCCACCCTATGGCTTGGGTCTCTGCTTCACAGGCTGGTGGAAATCCTAACATGGTGACTCCTGGTGGTTATCAAATGGGGATGGGGTCTCTGCATCAGTTGCAATCACCCATAGGGGGAGCCATGCCTCAAAATCAAGGTATGGGATTCAGATTCACTGGTCAGGATTCACAAGGAAGAGCTCAACACCAGATTCCAACGAGTGGAGGCCATGGACAAGCTCAAATGGGGTACCAAGGAGGATTTCAACAAGCTACTGGCCATTTCATGAGCAACATGTCCAGACTATCAAAAATTGAGTTTCCAAGGTTTAATGGCTCAGATCTCAGATCTTGGTTGTGCAAGGTAGATCAATTCTTTTCGCTTGATGAAATTCCATATAATCAGAAGGTTAAGATAGCTTCGTTGCATTTTGATGGTCTTTCCATAGAATGTCATTTAGCTTATTTAAGAAGTAGGCAACACCTTCCTTATCCTACTTGGGAAGAGTATTTGTTTGCTCTTACAGATAGATTTGGGGCTGAATTTGAGGACCCTATGGCTGAGCTGAAATTGGTGAAGCAAACTGGTAATGTTAAGGATTACCAGAACGAGTTTGACAAAATCATGACTAGGCTAACCATACTGCCTGAGTATGCTATAAGTGGATTTATCACAGGATTAAAACCGGAGATAGGGTACACTGTCAAGAACCACAAGCCTCTTTCTCTTCCACAAGCTTACCAACTGGCCAGGAACACAGAAGCTCAGGTGCATGCTCAACTGAAATTGACCAGACACCCTTCGTATGGTGGTAGCAACTTTCAAAATAAGGGAGGCTCCTTCAGTTCTTTCCCAAGAGGAGCTACTAATAAAAGGGACGTTGGTCCAACCAAGAGAGATACATCTGTCAATTTAAATAGAAGCAACAGCAAGAGGCTAACTCCAGCTGAGATGAATGAAAGGAGACAGAAGGGGCTATGCTTTTTTTGTGACGAGAAGTTCTTCCCTGGTCATAAATGTGGAAGCTCCAAGTCATTATATTTGCTGGAGGTGGAAGAGGAAATTGAGGAAGATAAGGAAGAAGGGCTTGAAGAACCTATCATTGATGTAGATGCTGAAGAGGAACAAGGAGAGGTTTGTGAGATTTCTGTGCATGCTCTTCATGGCATTCCTACATTCAACACCTTAAGGGTTGAAGGATGTTGCCGGAAAAGAACATTGCACATTCTCATTGACCCTGGGAGCTCACACAACTTCATGGATGAGGAGCTGGCCAAAGAACTCAGATGTGACATCCAGATTGTCAAACCTCATGCTATCAATGTAGCTGATGGCCATGACAGACAAACAAATGAGATTTGCAAGGCTTTCTCTTGGGTGATGCAAGGTTTGACATATTCAGATGAATTTTTACTAATACCCTTGAGGTCTTGTGACTTAATACTGGGAGTTCAATAGTTGCTTCCACTGGGAGACTTGAAATTAAACTTCCAGGAGCTGACCTTGGGATACCATTATAAAGGGCAAGAGTGTATTCTCGAGGGCTCTGTGGATAAAGTTAGAACTGTACAAGCTAAGAGGTTGGATAAGTTGTCAAAGGCTGGTGGACAATTGTTCATGATCAGGGTAATGCCTGTGGAAGAAGAACGCGAGGAATGGGATATGTCCATTCCTTTAGCTATCCAGTCTCTTTCTAAAGAGTATCCTCAACTGTTTGTTGATCCAAAGGGGTTGCCTCCATCTAGAGGGCCTTTTGATCACAGGATTCCCTTGGAAGCAGATAGCAATCCTATCAATATGAGGCCGTATAGATACTCTTCTACTCAGAAAGATGTCATTGAGAAATTGGTGCAGGATATGCTGGAGCAAGGCATAATACAACCTAGTTTTAGTCCATATGCTTCACCTGTTGTGCTGGTTGGAAAGAAGGATGGAAGTTGGAGACTCTGTGTGGATTATAGGGGCCTCAACAAGGTCACGATAAAAGACAAATTCCCAATCCCCATCATTGAAGAACTCTTGGAAGAGTTAGGTGGATCACAGATCTATTCTAAGATAGATCTCAAATCGGGTTATCACCAGATAAGAATGGCCAAGGAAGATATTATCAAGACTGCTTTTAAAACTCATGAGGGACATTATGAGTACTTGGTAATGCCATTCGGTCTTACTAATGCTCCATCATCCTTCCAAAGCCTCATGAACCATGTCTTTAAAGAACATCACAGAAAATTTATATTGGTATTTTTTGATGATATCCTTGTATTCAGCAAAAGCTTGTCTGAACACTTGGAACATCTTAAAATCACTTTTGAGTTATTGGTTAAACACAAGCTATGTATCAGACAGTCGAAGTGTTCTTTTGGGGCAAGCAAGGTAGAATATTTGGGTCATGTAATTTCTGCTGAAGGGGTTGCTACAGATCCTAAGAAAATTGAAGCAGTCAAGGCTTGGCCATCACCTAAAAATGTGAAGGAGATGAGAGGTTTTTTGGGTTTAACAGGCTACTATAGAAGATTCATTCGACATTATGGGGTGATCAGCAAGCCTCTAACAGATCTCTTAAAGAAGGAGGGGTTCCAGTGGTCTGATAAAGCTACTCAAGCTTTTGAAAAATTGAAAGAGGCCTTGGTTTCTGCTCCTGTCTTGGTCTTGCCTAATAATTCATCTGTGTTTATAGTAGAAACAGATGCATGTGATTATGGAATTGGTGCTGTGTTGATGCAAGAAAGCCATCCAATTGCATATCTCAGTAAGGGTTTGTCTATTAGACATCAAGGGTTGTCTGTGTATGACAAAGAACTTCTTGCGTTGGTGATGGCCGTAACCAAGTGGGCACAATATCTTATAGGAAGGAAATTCATAGTGAGAACTGACCAGAAGGCTTTGAAATTCTTGTTGGATCAGAAGCTGCATACAGGGGCTCAAATGAAATGGATTGCTAAACTCATGCAGTTTCATTTTGAGATAGAGTACAAAAAGGGTCGGGAGAACAAAGCAGCAGATTCACTATCTCGAGTTCAATTGGGAGAAGTGTCTGTAATGATGATTACTCCTGTAGTGACAGAATTATTTGAGAAAATCAAGACGACCTGGGAAACTGATCCTGTTCTACAAGAGATTTTGACAAAGATAAATGATCCAAATGATGGCGTAAAGGGGTTCTCTTTTATAAACCAACAACTCAGGAGAAAAGGCAAATTGGTGGTGGGAAATGACTCATCTGTGCAGCAAGAAATTATCTAGATCTGGCATGAGAAACCAGTTGGTGGACACTCTGGGATAGAGAATACTTACAAGAGAATAAGTAGTTTATTCTACTGGAAGGGGCTTAAGGAGGAGGTGACCAAGTACGTTAGGCAGTGTGCTATTTGCCAAAGAAGTAAATATGATAGTTCTGCCTATCCAGGTCTCCTACAACCTCTTAAGATACCTAGCACATCTTGGTCTAGTATAAGCATGGATTTCATTGATGGCCTCCCAAAGTCTAAGGGGAAGTCAACTATCTTGGTAGTAGTAGACAAAATCACCAAGTATGGACACTTCTTGGCCATTAGTCACCCATATACTGCTGCTTCTGTTGCTCAACTCTTTCTGGATCAGGTGTATAAGCTCCATGGAATGCCCGAAAACATCATTAGTGATAGGGATCCAATCTTTATGAGCAAGGTCTGGCAGGACTTGTTTGCTATGCAAGGGGTCACATTGAGCACATCTACAGCTTACCATCCTCAAAATGATGGTCAAACAGAGGTTCTAAACAGAACTGTGGAGACATTTTTGAGATGTTTTTGTTGTGATAGTCAAACGAACTGGGCAAGCTACTTGTCACTAGCAGAATGGTGGTATAATACTACCTTCCATTCAGCTATTCAAACCACTCCCTATGAAGCTCTCTATGGCCAGCCACCCCCCATACACATTCCTTATGTCCCAGGCGATGCATCAGAAGAAGAAGTGGATAGGAGCCTCATTACAAGGGAGTTTAAGGTTCAATTGCTGAAGTTTCACATATCTAGAGCCCAACAGAGAATGGCATCATTGGCCAATCAACACAGAACGGATAGGCAATTTAGTGAGGGAGATTGGGTTTATCTCAAGATACAACCCTACAGGCAGCTCTCTATCTCCAACAAATCTTTCTCCAAGTTATCAGCTAAGTATTATGGACCTTATCAAATTCTTCAAAAAGTTGGTCCAGTAGCTTACAAGCTACTCCTTCCCCCTCAAGCAGCCATCCACCATACCTTTCATGTTTCACAGCTTAAGCCTTGCTATGCAGTACCTACTAGTTTTAATCAGCCACCCACAATCAACATTGCCGATCCTCAATGTATGCAGCCTCAAGAGATTCTTGAAAGAAGGATGATCAAGAGAGGAAACAAGGCAGTCCCTCAAGTCTTGGTCCAATGGTCTCAACTTTCTAAAGAGGATGCTACATGGGAAGACTACAATTCTATGAAGTTGAGGTTTCCTGATTTCATTCCTTGAGGACAAGGAATATTTTAAGTAAGAAGGAATGATGCAAGAATGAGGAGTTGAAGCTAAGGTGGTTG